TATAATAGCAGTAATCATATTATAATACCAGTAATCATATTATATAATAATAGTAATAATAATTAATACCCCGTTGGTCATTTACCTTCGACGTTCCTGCTGGGGGCGCAATTTCAGGGTTTTGTTTACTGGCGTTTTTTTAAAAACAGAAATCCGACAAACCCTGACGACTTCGGTTCCAAAAACGCCAAAATTGCGCCCCCAGCAGGAACATCACAGTTAAATAAATGGCCAAAGGGGTACATAGTACTTAACAGCTACCATCTATATCATGTCAACAACTTTTGAAATCTCCAGTCGATCCGCAATGGCCTATCCAGCAGAGCTACGAACGCAGATCTCCCCCCAGGAAACAGAGAATTAAAAAAAACTGCTAAACAAACATCAGAGAAAGGAGGACAAGTACAGCCACTGCGGCTAGGCCCGCACAACTCCAATTAATTAATTAATAAAATAAAATAACTAATACCCTTTCGGTCATTTAACTTCGACGTTCTTGGCCCGCACAAATTCCAAGTTTTTCAACCGAAATCGTCAGCTCCTACTAGCGGGAACCCGGTAAGCATTGACAAATGCACAAATAGCACCCTAGGACTAAGACCGGGGGGGGGGGGGGGAAGAGAGAGAGAGAGAGAGAGAGAGAGGGACCGAGTCTTTCTCCACGCATTTCGAAAGCTCCAGTGTACCGGCAAGAAACAGAAACAGGGAATCAAAATTAACAACTGCTAAACAAAGATGATAGGCAAGAAACAGAAACAGGGAATCAAAATCAACAACTGCTAAACAAAGACATCAGAGGAACGATGTCCACAGAAATGGTGAAAAGAAATCTTCAAGACGATAAAAATCAGATGATGTCTGAAAAAGGTGAAACAGAATTTGAGAGATGAGGAGTCGGTGAAACTCCGACGAAACAGTTCGTAACAGCCCCTCGTTTGTTGTCCTCTTCTCCCTTTTGTCCCTCTCTGCCTAGTACGGTTTACCGGGCAGCTCTGTTTGACTCTACCTATATATATCATCACATGAAGAAAAGAGGAAGGGAACAGCCAAACAATACAGAACAAGGGGCAACAAAACAAATCCTAGATGACATATATATAATGTAGTTAACAAAAAAAAGAAAACAAATCTCATGATTCGTGTAAGCGTGTCGATGGATTAGTTAAATTCAGAAGCTCGACGACGGCCGTGCGAAGGAAGAAACACACAAGCGGAATAATCAACCGACGGTAACCGCTCGTTTTTCAAAAATTTCAACCCGTCAAATAATCTATTCACCGTCTTGACGAGTGGAAGAAGCGTCGACTCAGCAGAATTTTGACCAATATCGTGACTAGATTCAAATCATTCCGATGAGCATTTAGTGTTGGCGTCAACAACCATCGATTCCGCATTTGATTCGGAGACGCAGCAGAGCTGATGAGAATTTGCTGTTGGCGTCAACAACGCCGGCACGCGCGAAATATGAGAATAGGAGCGATGCGACCACTGTGGCAACAAACATCCCCATCAGCAGAATGAAGATTGAAATTTACAAAAACCGAAAAAAAAAAAAAAAGAGGTATCATGGCGGGAGGAGCTATACAGACGTGAAGAGACGACAGCATAGCAGCACAAAAAGAAAAAAAGCGGTACATGATTAAAGAAGAAGCGCTCAAAGGAGGTAGTAATATCACGTCATCATTTTATTTATTTTCTCTTCTTAGAATCATCTAGAGCGAGACTTGGAGTGAGGATGGCCGTGCCCCCACGAAGAGAAGATAACGACCCAAAAAGGAATCTATCCCTCGGGGATCTCTGTCTGCCCTGTCCCTCTCGCCATCTCTTCCCCCCTAGCTTTCCCGTTCTCTTGCTATTCTCCCTCTCTCTCTCTCTCTCTCGCTCGCTCGCTCGCTCGCTCGCTCCAGGGGGTGCGTCAAATGCCCTCTCATGCCCTCTCATGCCCTCTCATGCCCTCTCATGCGCATATCCGATAGCCGTTGTTCTCTCTCTCTCTCTCTCTCTCTCTCTCTCTCTCTCTCCACACACAGTTTCTCGTTCTTCCCTACCCGCTCGAATTTGTCATTTCTTCCTTCTCCATTGCCTCCCCTCTGCCTGTTCGATTCCATTTTTCAACTTGTTCCCTCCATCCCCGCTCCCTATCTTCCCCCCAGCAATCCGCTTTTCCCCGTGCTCCTCTCCGTGTCCTGTGTCTCTATTTCCGTCTTTCTCCACGCCTTTCTCTCATCCATGGAGGTCCACTTTGCAATCCCGCTCCTCCGACACTCGATGTGGCCCCTGCGAATCTGGTACGTCCTTTCCTCCCTCCCTCTGTCTATCGCTCTTTTCCTCTCTTTTTTGCTCTCTCCTCATTACCTGCGTATCCAAATTTACCCTCTCCCTCTCATGCTTCACGCCCTTCGTCATTTTCCTGCTCAGACTCTCTACTTTGCTTACCACCTCAACCTCTTCCCCCTCCCTCCGCGCTGCGCCCCTCTTCCTCCCCCTTCATTTTCTCTCTTCCTCCCCACCTTGTCCGGCTCCCCTTACCCCGTTGCCTTGGCCTTCTTTCCCCTGCACTTCATCGTTTCCTACATCCTCACTCTGATTGACTACCATTCCCACCTCCTCCTCCTCCTCCTCCTCCTCCTCTCGATCCCACATCCTGATCAGTCGCCTCCCAATCTGCGCTGCCCACCCCCTTCTTCGCAAATTGGGTCCCCGACCTACATCCTCCTCCCCATTTGCTTTCGGACCCTCCGCGTATTCCCTCTCCACAACCCCCTTAACGTCGGCGGCAAACTTACCTTGGATGCTTCACCCTATCTCAATAACGACCCTCCTTCCGCCTCCTCTCTCGTCGCAGCCGGACGGTCACTGGGAGGAGACCGTGAGGAGGCGGGATCAGCAGGAGAGGGTCGGGATTATGGCCGACAATAAATCCCGACCCTCTCCTCCTGATCCCGCATCCTCACGCTCCCCCTTCGTCCGTCTCCTGCTACTCCAACCCCCCCCTTGAACCCCTCAAAGATTTAAATGGCATCCTGCTCGCGCCTGCCTGACCAGGCACTTGACCTCCCCCTCGTGTTCCCTCTCCACCTCCCTCTTCCCATTCACCGCATACTCCCCGCCTACTCCTTCCCCTACCGGCCGTGCACAAATCCTGCCTGTCCCACAAATCGTGCCCTAAACGCATCGACGTAATAACCGGGGGGGAGGAGACAAAGAGAGAGAGACACAGAGAGAGAGAGAGAGAGAGAGAGAGAGAGAGAGAGAGAGAGAGAGAGAGAGAGAGAAGGAATCGACAGTACTGAAGCGAAAAGGAGAGACGAACGTACTGTTTTCCACCATCGGTATTGCCGTGCTGCACACTCTCCACACTTGAGGTTGATTTCCCACGCCAACCTCACCTCCAGTCCACACGTCGATTTCCCGCCGTAAGCAAATCGATTTCCCGCCGTAAGCAGATCGATTTCCCGCCGTAAGCAAATCGATTTCCGCCGTACGCAAATCAAATTAGAGTTAGCTATGGCGCAGTTCCCTTCCCTACCACAGCTGACCTGAAAACACGACCTTCCCTTCCGCGCGTTACCGCCCAACACGTCAACCGAAACCCGAAACCCTCTCTCTCTCTCACTCTCTCTCTCTTTCTCTCTCTCTCACTCTCAAAACCCAAACCTGGCGCAGAGAGCGAGTCGGAGAAAGAATAGCACCGCTTTCCAGAACGAAAGTTTGCGCCCACTATATTATTGCCCGAACGATGGTGGTTCCAGCCCGCCGCACAGGTGAGACGCGCCGCACACCTGAAAGCCAAAGAACTACACCCACCGTATTATTGCGGGACGGATGGTGGTTCCTGCATGCCGCACAGGTGAGACCCGGAAGGATGGTGGTTCCTGCATGCCGCACAGGTGAGACGCGCCGCACACCTGAGCGATGCAAAAGACCTGCCTATGCTAAACACCGCCCGCACCCATCCCGGCCCCCAGTCCGGGCCCATACCCCCCCCCGCACCGCACACGCCGGGTACCGGGCTCTCGGCCCACCTGCACAGGTATAGGGTCTCGCTCCAGTGCGCTTGACGTGCACAAAAGACAAAATTCATGGCCGTGTATCTTTCCCTGTTCTAGAGGATTATTCACTCTCATTTTGCACATTTCGAGAGTACCGGATCGAGGCCCGTAGTTTAGTTTTTTGTTTTCTCTTTTTTTTTTTTTTTGCCCCCGATACTGACAGCATTAGCCAGCTTAGCTTACAGGCTCTCGCCTGCGGAAAGCCCCTACTACGGTACCAGCTTTCCAAGATACCACGCATTGGGTCTCGCTCCACTACACCAGACTCACGAAAATTTTCTGCAGCCCTTCTTGAGCTGTCAGAGGCACCTAACTCCAGTCCCGATATTTTCGGCCTTGCTCCGCTACTCTGGATGGAGGGAACTCAAGAAGGACTCGAGGAAGTGCGTTCGGTGGGCGTCCACCGATGGTCAGATAGGTCAGAGGGGTTCCAAAAGGAGGGGTACCTGCAACAGAACAATCAACTCAAAAGAGGGGCAAATATAAACCTTGAAACAACCAGTGGAAATAGTCAGAAACTGCAATTGCTGCAAAATGAACGAGTTCAGATGACAATAGTTTTCAGGTAGTGACACCTTCCTTGGAAATGGGAAATCCTGGGGCACCCACCAATGCACCTCCTAACAGGGCCCGTTACTAAGCGACGGTAACTGCGGAAGGTCTCACTGCGGTGTTGTCTTCTGCAGGAACGAGGCTCCAGGCGGCGGCGCGTGATAAGCCAGGATCCGTACTCAGCGGCTTCCGGTACCCTCAGGAGAAAATCCCACGAAAAGCCTCGAAGTACGGGTTATAGGTGATTGGGAAGAACGGGGTTTATTTTCTTCTTTTCTTGAGCAGAGAGGAGGGACAGAACAGAAACTTATTTTTCCTTTCCGAGACTGCCCCTGATGTCTTTCTCGCGTGGCCGGTTAGCGACCGCGCCAAGAAATCCAAAACACAGTTAGGAACTAGTGTGAATAGGAATTTGAAACTTTTGCACGCGCGGCTGCTTTTCAAATCTTTGCGCGCCGCGTAAACCTGTTCCCCAGCTTTGCATCCCCGCGCCATCTTCCCTTCTTGCCACGCATTTCCTTCTTGCATGCCTCTTCGTCTTCCCCTGAGCAAAGTCCGATCCTCTCCTTACCCATCATCGCAAACGATTGGCTGTGTAATTGGGATGGTCGGATCAGTGTGGTGAAAGCGGAAGGCGCGTACCACTTGAACGACCACCCCAATCACACAGATCGTTCGACTTGCCTCCTTCGATCCTTCTGGAACTTTGGCCCTTCTTCTGCCCCGCTCATCTACACTCCATGCTACCCACACCTCGGGCTGGCTCCCCGCTGCCTTCGGCGCTATAAATTATCGCAACCCCTTCCTCTTCCTCTCTTTGATCTCGGCTGCAAGCTGCACGAGCTATGTGGAAGGTCCGCGACGTCGAACAGGCTTGACGAGACCAAGTGAAGGGCAGAGTGACGACGTGGGATGGGCTTAGTGATAGACTTGGGGTAAGCTAGTCGGAGGGACTGAGCGGTGGTAGAGACCGGACGCCGGCAGCGGCAAGGCCTTGTGGCTATGGTTGTTGGAGGTTCCGAGGGATTGGGGGCTGGGCCCTGGGCGGCAACCCGTGTGAGAAATTTTGTGTTAAACCACCAGTACCTCGCTCAGCTATCGGCCGCGGGCCTTCCCGTACACGCGCCGCAGCCTTAGGGGGGTCGGCCAAGGGAAGGCCCGGTCGTAGCCAGAAAGTCGGGCCCCGCTTCTGTAGGGACGACACGGTAGAGGGGGGGGAAAAAAAAAAAAGGAAAAAAAAAAAGAAAAAAAAAAAAAAAAAAAAAAAGGTTAGCTCGTGTTCCGCAAAACGAATTGCGGAATTTCTACTTATTATTTTTCGACATCCTACGCCGCACCCCCTGCAAATTCCTGACCCAATCACAAATGCTTAGGGGGCCTCACCACACCACTCTCGAAACGAAAAAAAAGAACGAATGCATCTTCCCCAGAGAGGGGGTAAGATGCACCCGTTGCTATTTCATAGGACTGGATGCATCTTGCCATTCTCTGCGGGAAGATGCACTCCTTTTTTTCGCTTCCACAGCGGAGTGGTGAGGCTCCATAGACTCGATGTATTTCTGCAACCATTGACAAATGCACAAATACCACCCTCTGCCCGAGTCCACCGAAACATCAGAGGAGAACCAGTGCGGCTATGCCCGCACAATTCCAATTACTTGCTAGTTATAATATAATATTATAATAGCAGTAATCATATTATAATACCAGTAATCATATTATACTAGTTATAATATAATATTATAATAGCAGTAATCATATTATAATACCAGTAATCATATTATATAA